GGCCGTCTGCCTCGTCGACAGCGCTGGCGGTCAGCAACGGCAACGGCAACGGCAACGGCGACGGCGACGGTGACGGCGACGTAGACAACGTCGGTCTCCGGCCCCTCGAGCAGGGCATGTAAGTTGTCCACTCCCCAAAAGGGGGCTCCATTTGGCCCCGAAATGACGTGTTGAGACGCTTCTGAGAGGCCTCTCGACCGGTTGCTGTGCTGGCGGCCAGACCGCGGTTGGCTCGAGCCAGCTCGAGTCCGGCAGGACTCGGGTCGGCAGATGCCTTGGCGCCGAGTCGCGCTGAAGAGGCTTGAGGCCGGCAGAGGAGACGGGCAGGGCGTTTAGGGTTGGGGTCAAGCCTTGTTGACCGAGGCAAACGGAACAGATGCTGTATGGACCAGCTGTGGAAGAAAAGGTCACTTTATTCTGGTCATGCTAGATCGGACCAAGCATGTGGTTTGGAATAAGAAGTTTGGATGAGGCAAAACTGATTGTCAATTTCTCCTTTCGATCAAGAAGTAATCTCATACCGACTGGACTGCAGCTCCGACTTGGTCTGTATTCGTTTTCGTATGAGAGTAGCGTTTCGAGACTACCCTACTCTTATACGAATGTAAGTAACGTTGTCGATTGCTATAGCAAATATACGTTTGCTTCATCGGCACTCTCACCAAAGACTACCAGTAAATCAGTGTAATGAGATGTATTACCAAGTGGGATAAGGCCACACTTGATTTGCTACAAAAGGGCACACATGTGAGAAGTTGTGATAGGGCGGCAGTGGGAGAAGAGGGTCAGTTTTGTTATTCTCTGATGCTGGGAATCATGACAACTACTATGACAGACGACTTCGGACTAGGTACGGTATACTAAGTCGCCTTGACAACGAGTTCAACCCATTTCTATAAATCGAAAGGAGACTGCGACCATACCAGAGGCCACGACATCTCGGTCTTTATCTCGTCAAAACTGACTAGCCTCATTTTCACAACTTCCTTACGACGACAGTGGCGGTATCTTTTTTGCCCGAGTAGTTATGACAATTCTGAGCAAAAGTGTGTCACTCGAACACGGTACAGAAGTGAGCTTCTCCGTATCACATTTTTTTACTTGTGGTACGACAATGCAACTTGTATTTAAAGTGATTAGAATTTCGAAATTATTAATCAACCTTGACACTGGGTCAAATAGGGTTTTTTCTAATTCACGTTGGGAATGTTGATAAAACGAATACAATGAGATGTATTCACCCAATTTCGTGTAAGGTGATGAAGGACTGGTAGTAGAATATGATATAGCAGAGGCCTGACCTTCCTTAAAACTCACTTATGCCCTGTGACTCAAGGTTACTCGTGGCAGTGTAGCCGAGTGGTTAGCGTGTC